TCATCTGTTTCCGATGTATAAGTTTTTAGTTTCTGTCCAGAACAAGTTGGTAAAGTTTGTTCTTTTATCCCGTATTAGGTGCCAAAGAAGATCTAAAATCCACGCCTACTGCAGAATGACAAGGAGTTTACCAGATGACATCTTGTTTGACATCTTCCTTAGGCTGCCAGATAAGTCTCTTGTCCGCCTCAAAGTCTTATCCAAACACTGGCACTTGTCGATTTCTCGAATGTGTGTTTGCCGGAGTATAAAGCCTGTAGTTGGGCTGTTTCTTCTAACATACAGTGCTCGTTCTACGGATCCTCAATTCATCATGAGATCAGATTTGCGTGTTTATTCTTATGTTAAAATAGATGGCCTGCCCACACAAGTCTCGGGGAGTAGAATGATTGGTAACTATCTACCTCTAGAAGGTGAAGAGAAAGGACCATCTTTATTATGTTGGGATGACTGCTTTGGCTCTTTTGGGTTGCCATTTAGATCAGTTGCGGTTGATCTGCTCGATTGTTGTAATGGCCTGCTCTTATTTCTGGACTTAAAATCCAGACTATATTATGTCTGTAATCCATTGACCAGGCAATATGTGTCAATCCCTCGTCCTCCATTTTTGATGCAAACATTCTGTTGTGGTGCACTTGCATTCGATCCCTCTTGTGGGTCAAGTCGCTACAAAGTTGTACGGATGGACTGGTCCCCATACCGTGATGTTCTTGTAGACATATACTATTCGTTTGGGAGGCTTTGGGTTAGACGCGAACTAAAGGTGGACCAATGCGTACGCAATGGCATATTGTTGTGCCCGGCCTTCCTTTGAGTTATAGAGAGTGTGATGGCTTGATGGGATGCATGGGGGTACAAATGGACCGGTTTATGTACGGGAATGAATCACGCAATGTGTTATACATATGGTCGCTCGAGAAAATTGTCAACAATGATGTATGGAGTTGGGATTTGAAGCACAAAATTAATATTTATGATTTGACTAGTGGTATTTTGCTTAACAAAGCAGATGCCCCTGATGGTTGTCATTGGATTGGGCCAGTTGCTTTTGATCCACACTCAAATGTGATCTACATGGGCAGCTCTCTTGTTATCCTCAGATGCAACCTGGACGAGGATTATAGTTTGAAGGAGGTGAGTAGAGTGGATGGGAATGTCATGTTTCTTCCTGGATGCCACTGTCGAGCTTTCCCTTACTTTCGATGGCTTCTTTCATTCACCGATGCTGGAGATGCTTGTGATCGGAGTTTTTTCAAGTTTGTTTGAATAATTTTTACTAGTACGAGGTAGATGGTTCTTTTAAGAGGAAAATGATTTGTTGTATTTCTTGTGTTTGTTTTATCCTCATTTTCGCATCTAATGAAGCTTTTTTATCAAGTGTTGAAGAGTGACAGGATAATCTATATATATATATATAATTACTAGCTAATGAATTTAATAAAACATTTAATAAAACCTATTTTCATTTCTCTCCAAAAGGAGTTATATTTTTTTAATTAATTACTCATTAATATGTTAAAATCGTTACACCTTAATATATATTTTTATTATTTATTTTTTGGATCAATTACTAAATTAATTCTAAATTTGGTAGCAAAAAAAAATTAAATGTGTAACGGCTAATGTTGTAACTTAAAGTTGATTGACACATTCAGAGCTGTAACCGCTATATTTGGTTGTATTGTTAGAAGAAAAATATGATTGACACATACATTTTTTTCTTTCTAAAAATCAGAAACACAAATAATTATTTTATTTATGTTAATTTTCTTAATATATGCCATAAATATATAAATTATTTTATTCATGTTAGTAATGTAAATGTTGCATGGTTAAAATAAAATTTAAATCTCAATAAATTTTGAAAGATAAAAATAACTTAAGAAAAAATAATAATTTTTATATGATAGAAGTACATGTCTAATTAATAAATAAAAAAAGTGTTTTATATCTGTTCAAATGCACAGGATTAAATACTTGTATCATTCATTCTTATCCATTCATTTATTTAGGAAAGTAGTTAATTAGTTTCCTTAGTTTTCTCCATTGTAATCCTTAAATACACGTGAAATAATAATTTTCTCTTCAAGCAAAATAATATCCATATTGTAACATGGTATCAGCCATCTGATCCTAAACTTCCATCTCTGCCGCTTTCACCATTGTCGTCGTTCTTCACTTTCTTTCCACCATGGAGACTGAAACTCTATCATTCTCCACTCTTATTCACATGATTACCATTAAACTCTCCTCCTCTAATTACCTACTATAGAAAAATCAGATTCTTCCCCTCCTCTCTTCTCAAAACTTGCTCGGCTATATCGACAGCACCAAAACAGCCCCTCCCTCGACTGTTACAAATGCGGCTGGCACTATTGCTCCCAATCGTGCTTATGAAGCGTGGCACACTCAAGATCAGAGGCTTCTCAGTCTTCTTCTCTCCTCTCTCACAGAAGAATCAATGGCGGAGGTCATTGGATGCTCTACCTCGCGTACCGTTTGGCTTGCTTTGGAAGCGGCCTACAACCACTGCTCCAAATCTCGCGAACTGCGCCTAAAAGATGATCTTCAACTCATGAAAAAAGGTGATTGTCCCATTTTTGAATACATTCGCAAATTTAAATCCATATGCGATCAACTTGCGGCCATTGGTCGTCCGGTTGATGATACCGATAAAGCCCACTGGTTTCTACGTGGCCTCGGCTCTGATATTTCAAGCTTCTCGGCTGCACAGATGGCTCTCACGCCCCTCCCTACCTTCCGCAACTTTCTCTCCAAAGCAGAAAGTTTTGCTCTCTTTCAAGAATCTTTTGCTTCCTCTGGTGCATCAAATGTCGCCTTCTACAGCCAACACAAACCGTCTGGTCATTTTTCCACTCCCTCACGTGGTCGTGGAAATGGTTCTCGCGGTCGTGGTCGTGGGCGACATTCGAATCCCCACCACGCTGCCAAATTTTCCGTGTGGATGGTCGTTATGCAACTTCTTGTCCGGAGCGCTATACTCAACCGCCTCATTCCTTTACCGCCGCCAACTTAGCAGAAGCATTCTCAGCAAGTTGTTCCATCTAAATCTGAAGGGTCTGATTGGTTTCTTGATACCGGCGCATCGGCACATATGACTCCGGCTTCTGAACATCTCGATTCCTCTCAACCTTATTCTGGCATGGATCGTGTGGTTGTAGGTAACGGTGCTCATCTTTCAGTATCTTGTATTGGTTGTGTTATCATCCAACTCGGCAAAGCATTGTTAAGGAGTCTTAAACATCATATTAAGTGAAAGTAACCATCGAACCGGCGTGATCCAAAGCCATGCTAGTCCGCGCAATGAACCGGTCTGAACTACCGAAGACCGAAGTGACCCACACTTACCGAAGTCACACCAAACCGAGGCAAGCACGAACCGAGGTCTCACCTCTTAAAGCAGGTGACGAGGCGCCTACGCACTCCTATCGCGACTTACAAGGTTTGTCATCATTAAAGTGGGGTCCACAGATCTCGCCGCCCATTAAAAAGTAGCTTTATGAAAAAGCAAATGCACAGATCCCGATATGTACATAAAAAGTTACTATAAATAGCTAACCTATGATACTTGTACGGGGATCGATCCTCCCGAACTCATTAATATGCAACGCGCAACAGCCCATAAAGGCTTTTCACCTCGGTCCACCTCGGACCGAGGCCATTGTTTAGTTGTTTTTACATGCTTTACGTTCAAACCGCTAACAATTATCACCTAAACCATTTGTTATATCGTTGTTAAGAATCATACGACAACAGTTTGGCGCTAGAAGGAGGGCCTCATAAGTTATTTGAGGTTACTCTCCGCTTTCACGCGTAGCGATTCACGTCAGCCACACCCATCATGTCTCATTCAGATCATCGTGGCCACACCTCACGAGACGGCCACAGTCGCAGCGCCGCGCAGTCCGCCAGACGACAAGCTGTGGTTCCTCCTATACCGGATTATGCTGTTCTGTTTCAAAATCCAGAGTTTGCACGTGGTTTTGCCGCTCTGATGGCCCAAACGATCTCAGGAACATCGACGACTGCCCCGGGACATTCCATCATTCCCACGACTCCTGCAAACCTACAGAATCCACCGACGGTGGAAGAACTACCTCTCATGCCACATCTCAACCCCGCGATCGAACTTCACAGCCACCTCCGGAACAAACTACACGTCGCGCCGACGTTGGACGTAATCCTCTCGTACTTCCTCGCGAAGAAACCGCTGAAAGTCAGTCTGAACATTCACGACGGTCGCCACCTCAGGCACGACAACGAAATACTTCTAACCCCGCGCAGACTGACCTTCGGCAGCATATTGAAAGGAATCGAGCTCGTCAAGAATCATCCGAGCTTGAAACATTACGACGGAGAATTGCCGAATTGGAAAGTCGGCAGCGGGAGCCCGAAGGCCCCCCTAGGCGGGCCTCAACTTCGGCGCAGATGTATTTAGAAGCAGACTCTCCTCTTACACCGGAACTCACTTCGGAACCCGTACCTGGGAAAGTTAAAGTCCCTCAAATTGGGCTATATGACGGAACTTCAGACCCTGACTCACACCTCGGTCATTATACTTCGTGGATGGATCTGCATGGGGCCTCAGACGCACTTCGGTGTCGTATGTTTTCTCTCACGCTGGGGCCTCGAGCCCAAAAATGGTACCATTCTCTTCCTCCTCACTCTATTTGGAAATGACAACAATTGAGGTCGGCTTTCCAATCCCATTTCATCGGGGCCCAAGTCTGCCTAATTCCGAAAGAATCTCTTGCAAATATCACTCAAAAAGATGATGAAAGTGTCAAGGATTATATCGCCCGATTCAACGACCGAGTTCAAACATGGAACCTTGTCACCCCGAAACCTTGCTTGTCATGGCTATTGCCGGACTGAAACCGAATTCGATTTTCCGCTGGACACTGTGCCAAAATAAACCAAACACTTTTCAAGAATTTCTTGCCCGAGCTCAGCAACATATTATAGCTGAGGAAGCCATGTCGGTCCCCGACTTTAACTTTAATCCGAAGTCATCTAAGGCGGGAACCGATGAGAAAAAGAAGAACAAATTTTCTGAAAGACAAAACAAAACACAGTTCAGGGGGCCTCCCCGAGGAGATCCCAACGATCCTGAAGTTCGAGCAGCCCGAAAACAGTATGCTACCGATGTGAAGTCCGGTTATCAAACCGTATATTCCGCAGGGGCAGCTACCATATACGAAGAAATCAAAGGGAAGGGCATTTTACCAGATCCCAAACCACTTCGGATGCCCGAGCAGAAATTGGACAAGTCCCGGTATTGCGATTATCATAAATCGCCAGGGCACAACACAGACGAATGTTTAAATTTGTTAGCAGCCCTGTTACGCTTAATTGGTCATCCGCAGCTTAGAAAGTTTTATCGCAACACCGACCCCCAAAGACGAGGACCAGGGCGTCAGATTGAATCATATGATGAAGACGACGAGGAGGACCGAGGCACCATGCCAAAACGCATCCGACAAGGAGACAAAGAAGTATTTATGTTCACCTCGGAAACTTCCACTTCCGACTCCGCTGGAACTTCCCGAGGATATAGGCGAGGTCGATCTCCCGCACCGATGCAAATCACCGTCCACCGTGTCAACACCAATAACTCTCGGAGTACATTGTCTCGTCGACAAATCAAAGCCTATGCCCGACAAGCCTACAACTCCGGCAAACAGGTTTACACTACCGACTTGAGAGACGTCCTCAACAATCGGAACTGCCCTATAACTTTTAACATGGAGGACGCCAATCGTTTTGCACACCCTCATTCTGACGCACTTGTTATCACTTTCCCTATATGTGGAATCCCCGTACATCGCGTTATGGTGGATAATGGCCTATTCGAGCATTTTGATGTTAAAAGCCTTTGACAAAATGGGTCTTGATCCCGCCGACATCCGACCTTGCAATGACCAGATACAAGGGTTCAACAGAAGTATTTTGAAGCCTATCGGCGAGATCACTTTACCTGTCAGATTTGGCACTTCGGAGAGCGTCACTAAGCTCGTCATGGAAACTTTCAAGATTCTTGATATTAATAATGAGTACAATGCCATCATCGGCAGAACAGCTTTGTATAAACTTCGAGCTGCGGTTTCAATCTTTCACTACGCATTAAAGTTCCCGACTACGCGAGGAGAAGGGACGCACTTCGGAGACCAAAGAGAGGCTCGAGAACTTGTCACGTTTATACCCTCTAACGGAATCCATTCCACCTCGGCGGACAATGATGAAAATTCCCCATTACAGCACGATACAGTGTCCGAAGAACCAAACCACGACACTGTTGCTCTCTCCACCTTGGATCCTTTAACTGAGGACCGAGGTCGACGGCCTGGGAAGGAGCCACTCCTTGAAGAAGATGAGTTGGACCCAAGGGCCCTGTTTAAAGAAAAAAGCCGAAATGATCGAGCAGAGCCTGGAGAAGACGTAGAATTAATCTATATCGATGAACCAACCTTCCATAAATCATTGCGTATCGGAAGTCATCTTCAGGAACCTCTCCGGTCAGAACTCATCTCGTTTCTCAAACATAATTCTGATGTTTTCGCCTGGAAGCATGAAGATATGAAGGGTATCGACCCCGGTGTCGCTAGCCACAAGTTGAACCTTGATCGAACCATTCGGCCTGTTGTTCAGAAACGAAGAAAACTGGGGTCGGATCGTCAGAAAGCACTGGAAGAGGAAGTTAAAAAACTTATCGATAACAAATTCATCAAAGAGGCCAGGTATCCAACATGGGTCTCAAATCCTGTCCTTGTTAAAAAGAGCAACGGCCTATGGAGACTGTGCATCGATTTTTTCGACTTGAACAAGGCGTGCCCGAAGGACAGCTACCCGCTCCCTCACATAGATTATATGGTTGACGCCACGTCGGGACACGAGTTGATGAGTTTTATGGATGCTTATTCCGGCTACAATCAGATTCCTATGGATCCTGAAGATTCCGAACACACCTCGTTCTATTCAGCCCGAGGCTTATACTGCTATACTATGATGCCATTCGGATTAAAAAACGCCGGAGCCACTTATCAGCGCCTTGTCAACAAAATGTTAACTACGCTGATTGGTCGTACTATGGAAGTTTATGTTGACGACATGCTCGTCAAGTCGGTGCACGCTTCTGATCATATAACACATCTTCAAGACATGTTTGCTATCCTCCGATCTTATTCCATGGTCTTAAATCCAAAAAAATGTACTTTCAGAGTTGAATCTGGAAAATTTCTGGGCTATATGGTCAGCCAGCGCGGAATTGAAGCCAATCAGGCCAAAATTAAAGCCATCCAAGATTTAACTTCCCCGACCTCGGTCAAGGGTGTTCAAGCCCTAACTGGCCGACTTGCTGCGCTCAACCGGTTCATTTCCAAGTCTACAGATCGTTGCAAACCTTTCTTCGAAGCAATCAAAAAAGGAAAGCGTTTTGAATGGATCGAGGAATGTCAAAGAGCTCTCGTCAACATCAAGGAGACGCTCGCCTCTCCGCCGACGTTACAAAAGCCGAGACCCGAGGAAATGCTGTTTTTATACCTCGGAGTCAGTAATTCCGCCATTAGCGCTGTTTTGATACGTGAAGAGGGATTGTTACAATCACCTATTTATTATGTCAGCAAGGCCTTGCATGATACGGAGTTACGTTACCCTCCGATGGAAAAATTGACGTTCGCACTTGTTATTGCCGCTCGGAAATTGCGACCTTATTTTCAAGAACATTCCATAACTGTCCGCACTTCGTATCCACTTCGACAAATTCTGCACCGACCTGACACCTCGGGACGCATGATAAAATGGGCCATTGAGCTCGGACAATTCGACATCCATTATCAACCAAGGACCGCGATCAAGGCTCAAGCCCTATCCGACTTCATCGCCGAATTCACTCCGGCTATAACAGTTCATAACGATAATCAGCTGTGGGTTCTCTATATTGATGGTTCCTCAACAGCCAACCGAGCAGGCGCAGGGATAGTCTTGGCTGACCCGGAAAACCGATTATTCTGTCACTCG